ATCAGCTGTCCCTATATCATTCTTGACAGATGTTTGTCTAACCTGTTCTTAAAAACCTTCAGTGATGGAGGTTCCCTGACATCCCTAGGCAACCTAGGCCACTCTCCTTAGCATTAGAAAGGTCTTCCTGATGCCTGACCCTAGCCTCCCCTACTGCAATTTAAACCCATTACTTTCTTCTCCCTTCCATTAGGACCATATTTTGCCCTTGCTGTTTGTCCAGACTCTCTGTAAAACCAGTAGCAGTTCTGTTATGAAACAGAGCAATATTCTCTCAAGTTTGCTCTTTATTTCCACTTAGTTTCTTTCTCTTTCCTTAGCTTATGCAAAGTGCCTTGTTACTCTTATCATTATCATGTGGCTTTCTGGATGCAGGGAACAACATCCCTCATCTCGTAAGAAGACCTTAATACAGAACTCCAGATAACCATTCCAGGTGTAGGACTATCCTACATATATAGTTTAAGAACAAAATTTAGTCTTACAGACCTAATTCATTCTTTGCCTCTGCAATTATCAATAAATACCACCTTCACTGTAGACTGAAGCATGTCAAACTGGTGTAAAAGAAATAAGAATCAGGCCCTTTGCATTTTTCAGTTTATTCTTATAAAGTATTATGCTGCACTTTATGCTTCTCATATTCATCTTATTCCTCTAGCTGTAGTGTGCATACATATATTCCTGCCAGATACTGATCAGTGTTGCATACAGTCATCATTCTCGGCGTGTCTACTGTATCCACCTACACAGAATGGCACTTACAGCAACTGCTTCTGTAATTTCTGTGCCTCCTTCTGTCTTTGGATGGAAAATGCACAACAGTCATAAATATAATTCATATCATATGTACGTGTCCAAAATTGGGAAAAGTCAGCTATTGCAAGTTCAAATTGATTCTGTCATCTAGAATCTAATTCATAATCTAATCGTCGCCTCTCCTTAAGGCTATTTCTGGAGTGGAAATTATAATGGATGAAAAGAGAGAGAGCATTTTAATGCAATTTCATGACATAGATAACTATCATTGTTCTTTAAGCAGGACATTTACAGCTTAACCGTCATGTCTGTAAAACAGGGGGTGTGCTGGAAATTATATGGGCAGTTAAAGATGGAATCCTCCCTCAGTCCCTGGTCAGGCCTTAAGGTGACTCTTCAGCTTCTCAAACCCCATTGCTCCCTTTTCCCTCACAAGCAGCGCATTCGAAAGCAACAATCTGTAAATATCCCTATTACACCTGAGGTCACTGTCCATTCAGACTACACCAGCCATATCTCTTTTTGCCCAGCTAAATTTTGAGAATTTCTTACATTTGTCCAAATATTTCTGGATGTCTAACAAGAAAACTACCAAGCTTCTGGATATCCCAGTTATTTCAAAGATACTTTTCTAAATGCATTGTGCAACACATGTGCAGAGAATCAAACATTCCCTAGACTTAAACAGCATACTGGGCATGTGCTACATAGTGGCTGTGGCTGTGTACACGCTTTGCATGCCGAACTGGAGAATACAGAATGCCCTCTCATTCTGGTGCTTCCTGGAAACTTTAATTTTATTGTGTACATGCTCAGCAGTTGAACTGTTCAGTGACTGTATGTGTAGCATGGCTGGAAAATGTTGGATTTGCCATCTGTGTCTTACAAGATCATGTATTTATCCCTGAGAAATACTGATGGGAAGTAGCATAGAATCATAAATAACTAAGGCTGGAAGGTCAAGGTTCAAGAGATTACCCAGTTGTTCTCAGGCGGAGTAGCTATTCCAGTATTTGTCTAACTTGCTTCTAAGCACTCTCATAGGAACTCCACAGGTTCCCCCAGTAATTTACGCCAGTGCTTCACTGCCACACTAGACAGCTTTTCCCAGCATCTAATTTGAATCTTCCAGGTTATTGTGCCTCATTCTCTCCACTATAAAACGTAAGACAGACTCATTCTCTCCTCTTTTCATTAGCTGTGCCTGTATTTGAGGCAGGCATCATATCCCACTCAGTCTTCCCTTCTTTAGATTTAACGCAACCAGTTTGATCCAGGTGTCTTCATAAGCCTCAGGTAACTCTCAAGCCCTCAGCCACTCTAATTATTCTCCTCCAATCAGTCTAGATTTTGTCTGAAGTGTGGCATCTAGCTGTGGACATGATGTGCCCCACCCCCACCCCCCCTCCTCCCTCCTCAAGGGGTTTTTCCAGTGCTTAGTAGAAAAGATTCTTCACATGTGCTGCAGACATCACTGCCACTCACACAGCTCGGTATGGGACTTGCCTTATCTTCGCTTTTGCAACACCTCAGCATTGCTGGTGGCATGTTCAAACTGACAGGATCATTTTGAATCCTAATCCTGTATTGCAACCTATCAGAATTCCCTCACAGCATGTTATCGGCATGTAAATTTAATAAGTATATTTTCTTCTCCATCATCCAGGTCATTAGGAAAATATTAAGTAGTGCAGAAGAAGGACAGACTTCTGTGAAGCACCATCCACGCACACTTCCGCTTCCACAGACAGATATCTATTCCCTCAGTTTTGTTTTCTAACTACTCTTGCATTCATTCTGCAGCAATTTCATCTAAACTGTGTTTCCCTAGGTTATAAAGAATGTCACACGAGGGAGTGTCGAGAGACTTGTAAAGTCAAACCACCTACTGCTTTTTCCCTGTCCGCAAGGCCAATTACCCTGTCTTAGAGGGAGATCAGATTGGTTTGACACAGTTTGTTCCTAACAATCCATGTTGTCTGTTGCTACCTTGTTTTCTTGCAGGTGCTTACAAATTGTTTGATTATTTTCTTCAGTACTTTTCCACGGGTTGAAGTTTAGTTGACTGGGCTATAATTTTGCAGATCTTTCTTTTTAAAGATAGCTACTACATTTGCTCCTCCATCCTTGCAGATAAGCACCAACATCTTTACGACTGCTCCAGAGAGAGCAAAAGCATCTAGCTTATTCCCTTGCAATACTTTTCTTCCCTCACCTAGCCTAGGCTGAAATCTTTAGCTTTGCCAGAGATTCCCTCGGACAACAGACCCAGAGCCCAAACACCTGCCTGTTTCTGAAAGCAGCAGTCTGGAGCGATGTGGGCATAATGGATGGGCCATCCATTTCTGCAGCATTTGGAGGAGGCCAGCCCTCCTAGCAGACTGCTTCCCTAGGAGAAGATATTATAAAAGTAAACGTTCTGGGTTGTGAGCTCTATAGACAAAATCTAACCCTTAGTGATTTTTTTTTAAAGACGCCCAGTGCTTGCATGAGTCGGAAATCTGGAAGCCTCTCAGTCAGCTTCTCAACTATTATCCCTTTGATACAGTGTCAGTTTTCTTTTTTAAAATGTGCTTGACCCAAAAAGCTTCCTCGACATAATAACATGGTTTTGTTTATTGATCCCTAGGGAAGTCAGAATAGGCTAAAACTGGTCAGATAAATAATTTTCATTATTATTAAAGGATAGCTCAAAGTTCTTGCTTCATTCTGCATTATATCATCCATGTGGGAGGTAGAAAAAGGAGTTGTAATTTCTTCCATTCTTAAACAGACCCTAACATGAATAATGTCATTAAAATTGTTCATATGTATTCCACAGAAAAGTGTCATCTTGAATGTGATCAGATACCTTTATCTACTGTGCCATACAATTTGTTGTCTACTTATTCAGTCATTTCTATGTGTTCTGGGAGCATATTATATACAATTTGAGTATTACTAATGAATTCAGCTCCTTTTCTGAAGTCATTTGTTCAGTTAAATATCAAAAGAGAAAAACTCATACTCCTTAGAATTCAAGAAATAGATTTAAATTACTGACTTCAAGCAAGACCAAATAGGCCTTTATCTTTCCCCCTTTCTGAGAATGCAGATAACAGCTATCACTTAAAAGTGAAGCCTTTTAGTACATTTTTGCAATCTTTTTTGATCAATATCAAGAATCAACATAAAATAAAGGTATAATAAGTAGCAGTCACCTGAGTGTATCAGGACTATATTACTGTATTATTAGGCTCTGAAAAGGCTGTACTGGACTACTAGAAGCCAATTCAAAACTGTAAGGCCCATTGTGTATCTTCATTCGGTAGAGAGGCTGCCCTTTGAATTTGCTGGGAGTTTTATGTAAAAATCAGTACCAGTGAATGTTCCTAGTTTTCAATCCCATGTGAAATCTTATTATAGGCAGAAGGGATTAATGGTTCTTTGTTTCCCCTAGTGAACAACCAAAGACTACACTGTTGTAAAATTTGTAAAAAGAAAAATTTGTAAAGCCAGACTCACATATCACAGTGTTTCATTTGCATCTACTGTACTCGCTAGACTTTTTAGCTATGTCTTACGTGACACAGTCTTGATGTGAATGGGGCTCAGAAGTTTCACTGTGTGTTTTAGGCAAGGACAGTTTATCGACTGAGAAATAAGGTTTAAACATTTTGGTTTGTTTGCCAGATCTGATGTCATAAAACAAATTATTCCTTTCTATAGGAAAGGGATTTTCTCCCAATTTAACTTCTCTTCCCCATTCCCACTCTTCTTGGCCCTGGTCCTGCATATGAAGGGACCTCTCTGAAACAATGCTGATTTGTAGGAGAATCATAGAATAGTTTAGGTTGGAAAAGACCTTTAAGATAATCAAGTCCAACCGTTAACCTAACCCTGCCATTAAATCCATGTAGGGAATAAAAGTCTGACTTCATGAGTCAGAAAACAGGTAAGGACATGTATTTATTAATTCAGAATGCTGCTGGGAATGTCACAGGTCTCTTATCACCCATTTCAAACAAGTATTTAGCTTCTAATTAGATAAAGTATCTGATTAAACTGAGAAAAAATGGAAAGTCAGAATTCAGAGTTACTCAGATTGCTCCTGCTGTAACACTGTCACCTGAACTAAGTCCATGGTATTTATTGCTCCTATGGGATTTGTCTCCCAGAAATAGATGGGTGAGATGGTGCATTGAAAGTTTCCTGTTACTGCTTCATTTTCTAAATACCTATTTTTACATTTTAACATATAGCTCCATCAGCCCTCCCAGACGCAAGTGGGACAAGCAGCCTCACAACCCAATCTCCTGCATTTGGCTCACAGTCAAGCATCTATGTCTCAAAGCCCAGTGCGTCAGGCTTCCTCTTCTTCCTCCTCATCCTCCTCCTCTTCAGCTTTGAGTGTTGGCCAGTTAGTCAGCAGTAAGTATTGCTCCCTGGCTCTCCTTAATTCTCCCGTCTGTTTGTCCTCCTCACTGCTGAGTTTCCTGATCTGCTTTCCCTCCTTTTTTTTTTCCATACAGTAGATTGTATATTGCTAAGTAGAGTGACTCTTACCAGTAAGAACCGCTAAGTGCTGTCATCAATGGGGCTTAAGGTAAACATGCCTTGAGAAATTGTAATCAATGCTAAAAACGGTCATAAAAATGGTAGCAGCCGTTAATTGACTTACAAGGACAATTCTTTTAACTAAAAGATAGTTTATGTTCTCTGGAATTAAAAAGTTTTTGAATCAGTCAATATAATGAATTATATTGCTCAGAATTTGGTGGGCAGATGGATCTTCCTGCTTTTGGTTAGGGCGCTTGTTCGTTACTGTTTGTTTGCTTAGTTAGTGTAGCAAACCATTTTACAAACCCCAGTACTACACAAATCTAGAGTGAGATACTTTTCTTTCCAGGAAAAGCTTGCACAATTTAAACAGGAAAGAACTGTAACATGTGGGAGAGGAGAGAGAAGCACGCTGCAGTGAAATAACTGAGTTTCAGTGTTAGGATTGTAACAGCTGTCCTCCTTAACAGCCCATTCTTCCAGATACCACAATTCAGTCTTCACTATTACCTTATCAGCATTAACTTTGGTCTTTACATAGCAAAAAAAACCCCACATTAAAATTATACATAAGAAGTATTAACAGGTTTTGCACATCTGCAAAAATTGAGTGTATTGGATGACCTTGTTCAAAGATACTCCATGTACATATTTCAAGTAAACAAACACTACAGCTCACACCATATTGCTATTGTAAAATATATGACTGTTACAAGTTTATGAAGCACTTGGAGAAACTGTCATGCAAAGGAAGATGTGAAAAAATTTTGGTTAGATTATTTCAGAGATTGTTTACATGGGGAAATTACTAGCAGAGCTGTAGTGGTAAAATTATGCTGGTATAATTCCCAGTGTGAATACTTTTATTCTGGAATAAAAATATCACATTGGTAGCTGTAAGTACATAAAATATATAGATATAATTATAGTGATATAAATATACTGCTATTGCTCTGTCAGTAAATTTTCTCATGTAGATGAGTTTGTAGGAAGAAGACAAATAAAGGACTTCATGTTAAAAATACATAAATTTACCCCTTGTCTATGTGGGAAAATTGACTAAAATAGCTAGTGCAGAATAAGTTACTTTTCAATGGCTGGTCCAGAATAGCCTCCCTTGTGGACATTCTTATTAAAAAAATATTCTAGAATAACTGTTGAGGGGTACTCTACCCCACAATAGTTATTCCAGTCAATTTCCCCATGTGGAATAAGTGCACTACACAATAAAAGCAACATGGAAGAAGCCCTTTTAAGTTTACAGGGTAAATCCATCAAAAGTTAGGAGATGTTAGAAAAATAGTTGCTTGTTCCACTGTACTCAGTTCCTCTTAGAACATGTATTTTATGATATACATTGTGATTAAAATCATGCAATCGTGATTTTTTTCCTCATCCTTCTTTCAGCACATTCCCAATGGAATTTTTCTAGGGATGCATCAGAATTACTAATGCAACAGGTGGGCTGCTGTCCCAGGGTTTGTTCCCTACCTGATTCACTAAACTGTTCCCCAGTTTGCATAACATTTGAGGTAGGGAGCTGTAGAAAATTGAACGATGGTCTTGCTTCAGGCGGTAGAGGGCTGAGGAGCTGAAGCTTTCTGTCTGCCATGTAATTCCAGTGCAATGGCAGGCAAGTTACTTAAAAGAGATTTTTCACAAGTGCTCCCTCAATATCCAGCTTGAGACTCTGGACTTTAATTTACAGAAGAACCTGGTACTCACAGTTACCATTTAAAGTGCATTTTCACTGTGGAACTGTATAAAGAACCATTTAAAGACACAGTGTATCAAATCATCTCCTACTTGACCTAGACTGGGTACCCAAAAATGCTTTTTCCCTTAATACCTGTCCACTTCTCTGTGAATGAGAAGGGGAAGACCCTCATCTTGTAGAAACACAAGAAAATAAATTAAGATTTAAAAAACCAGAAGAGCTCAAGAGGAAATGAGTAACTATGTCTTCAGTGAAGAGCTTTAATAGAGGTCTGGGGCCACACACTGAACAAGTAAAAAGGCAATACATCAATCGCTTCCTCTATAACGAAGCACAATTTGTCCTGCGCACTAGATGAGTCAGGGGTCTGGGGAAAAAGAAATGGTAATCCAGGGCTCAAAGACTATGCTATGCTGTGTTGTGGGCTGATGTAACTCCAGCATTTTGTAGCTCCTGAGTGTTTATTTGTGCAACTCTAAGGATGTTCTTTTAGCTTCATTTTTTGCTTGGATAAATTTCAAGGTTGTTACAAAAGCAGAATAGTAATGTAAGTCAGCCGTATGGTGAGACAGAGTGTGTATTCATAGTTGGAAATATGAGATCTTCTGTCAGTTGAATGGATGGAGAGGCTGATAGGTTGTGTTATCACCTTGTTGGTTATGCTTCAAAAGGAATAAGACACATGCTGTGCTCATGGATTTGGCTGAGAGCAGAGGAGTGTGAGGCACAGGAATATCAATTTGGGGAAGGGGAAGATACACTAATGAACGTAGACTTTCTACTTGTTCCTCTGAGGCTTTACTCCTTCCACCACTTGTGCTGTTCCAGGACTTCATAAGGCTGTTCTCCACACAATCTGTGCTCCTCTTGCCTCCACGCTTTTTTCCTCTTGCCTTCTCCCTGCACTCCTTTCCTCACAGTCCATCATTCCTCAACGCTTCCCATTTCAGTTCCCCTCCAGCTCCCAGTCAGTCTCTGTCCCCAGACCATATCTGTGTCCCTTTTACCAGCCTTTTTATTAGGTAGTTTCTGTCCTTCTCTACCTTGTTTTATCATTAGTGCTGCCTCTTCTTCCCTGTTTTCTTTCCTCTACCACAGTGACTATTATTCTTTGTGGTCAGGCCCTCTCTCCCTCCACTCCAAACTCAAATCCTAGCTCCTTAGTAGTCCTCAGGGATTTTTCCCCTTCCATCATTTCTTTTTCTTCAGACTCAAGGTTAATTTTTGCCCCCTCTGTATCCACATTACATAGACACCACTCCCACCCCCCCTAGAAGCCATCACTGGAGTCTAGAAAATGATCACCAAGAAGAGAGGCGAGTCAGTCTCTCTGTCTTTACTGCCGTCCTGGCCCAAAGCAGGCCAGAGCCATAACCATAGGAGGGGGGGTTCTTCTCCATCGACTTCAGCCTTAAGCTCAATTATCCTCAGTACAGAGAAAAGATTAAAGAAAACACCACACAGAGGTCTATCAAATCTCTGCTGAGTAGATATGCAACGCTGAAAACTCACCTGCTTGGACTTGTTTGAGACAGGTTCTTACTTGGGATGGCAAGAAGCCCATTAGTGACATAACCGCTATCTCCCTGACACCTATCAAGGCCGTGCTTCAAGTTTTAGGGAAACTGAAGCTTCTCAAAGAAAAGAGGTTATTACAATTCTTTTATCCTGAGCAGACCAACATGTTTTATTAGCCTTATTCTCCAAAGTGGTTGATCTGAAACTTGTCTTATAATGACAAATGCATCAAACTTAGCCATAGTCAATACCCTACATGTGATAATGAATGGCACAGAGAAGACAACTGGAGTTCTTCTCCCTTGCTCAAAACAGAAGAAAGTTTGATTAAATCAACGAGTGGGGGTCTCAGAGTAAAAAAAGTACTTTTCATGCAATCAGACTGAGGAAGGCATGTGCTTGGGAATGAAATCACTGGGTTCCAAATCTTAAGAGCATTCCAAAGGGAGAGGGTATTTATAGGAATCTCCTATAAAAAACCATGACAATAATTACACATTAATAAAAAGTTCTTGAATTGTCCTAAATTTGTGTTTTGGGCTTCATCCAGTCCCTAGCTATTCAAGACCAACAAACCAAGTGGTGTGAGGGAAAAACCAACTCATTTCTGCCATTTACATAAAGTTATCACACAGGGAGAAGTGAAACAATTATCTCAATGATCCCCGATGGCCATCCAGCATATTCTTGAGAGCATCTCACCCACCACAAACTGGAGCTAACACTGCATGCGTAAGCCTGCTTGAGCTGGCATGTAAGTGACAATGTTCCAGGGCACAAGAGAGCTACCTGCTGATTTCCAGTAATGTAGGAAGAGCCTACAAGAAAGAAGAAATTATGGTCAGTGCAGTAGGTAAAGATCAAAACACCCGTGTTATGAAACATGAAAAGGCAGACAGGATCCTTTACAGCTTTCGTTGTCCTTGATAATACCACCCTTTTAGACAGACTTAATTGAGCTTAATTGTTTCATGTGACTAAAAACCAATTTGCATACAGCTGTGCCTACACACAGGGAAGTAAATAGATGGAAAGCCATCCCTGGTTTGCTCCTTTGCAGAATCCATTGAGTTTCTGGGTGCAGAACCCTGAAGGGCAGGAGCACCACTTTGTCAAGCCTATGGCCCATAACTGAACAAAGCCTTCTCAGTGTCCTAGCTCCCACACTGGCTAGCAGAGCTTTGTGTTGTGTTTTTATTTTGCCTACAATTGAAATCTAGTGTTTGCCGACATCCATTCAAAGTTTTTTAGTGGGATGAGGCCTGCAAAGGGCCAGTGGTTCTGAAAAGAAATCCATAGGCATGAGGGCCACAAGAAACAACTTGTGGCCTCCTGAACACCTCTTTGATTGCTTTACCCCTGCTGAGGCAGGAATATTGTTTCCTTTTCCTCATTCATTCCAAAGCTGCAGTCCAGTTCTCCAGCAGAGGCCCTAGAGTCGAGTACCTTGGTAGAGATTTGCCATATTCCAGAATGTTGCAAATATAGTAAGGCTCATGTAAAACTAGGCATATTCAGCTACCATACTCTGTTAATCAAATTGCTTAGAGCCACATAACTTCAGTAAATAATTATTTGGGGCAAGGTTCTACACACTTACTGTAAAGAGAGTAACTCTCTGTACAAGAGGCCACCTCACATGATTGAAATTACTAAAGTACTATGAGAAAGGGGTCAAAATTGGGCTTTAGTAACTTTAGAGTTTCATGTTCCTTGTTTTTATTCCTTTTACTTTTCATTCTAGTCCTATTTTCTTTATGATTTTACATTTTTCTTTAGCATGTTTCCTAATTAAAAAAAAAGATAAATTTCCTTCCTTTTATTTATTTCCCTTTATTTTTTTATTTTCTGTCCTTTTTTTTTTTCCCTCTGGAGTGTTGTGTTCTTTATATCTGCTCTCTTTTGCCTCATCTTTTCCCTCCGTCCCTCACCAAGAACAAGTGCTAGTTCTTCTAAAGGCAAAAAATTATGGTTGTTTCCAAAGAAAGGACATTTAAAAAGAAGCTCTGCCTAAGCAAAGACTGCAAGATTCATCTCTGTTCTTCCTGTCCCTTATGTACAATTTCTTCTTACTGTCTTATCCTATCTCTGTTCTCTTTTCTCTTTTTTGTTTTCTTTTCATTGAATTCTACATCATTATTCGTCCTTTTTTCCATTTAATTTTCCTCTTCTCAGATGCATCCCTCTTCTCATTTCTTTAACTTTTCCACTGTATGCTCTCTTTGTGGAAATCACTGGTTTCCCCTCATGTGCTGAGCCTTGTGTCTCCATGAAGTTTCTTTCTTCCTTCCAAATTCATTTGACTGTCATGTCTTACTATAAAATTAAAATGCCTCCCACAAACAAATTATTCTTCTTTCTTTCCCCTGAGCACCAGTCCATTTTCCATTAATAATGTTTTGTCCTGCCTCTCTTATCCAATTTACTTTCCATTGGACCTCCTCAGCCAGCTATTACTCCTCCTGTCTGACTGGGGAAATCATCCCCTGTAATCCCTCCCATGGTAGAACTCTGCACAACAGAAATTTGCTTTCTCCTTCAGGGTGCACTGATTTCTTTTTTTTTCCCTAACTATTAAAATCACAGCAAATTTGCGCTCACCAACAAACTCATACAGGATTTTCAGAAGAATTCAAAAGCGGAATAGTATTGCCATCAGTAGGAAAAAGGGGGATTCAATGCAGGAGAGCCTATGGATTTTATTTCTTCCACTCTGTTCATCTACCTTCACCATCCACCAGGACGTGGGAGAATTTTAGCTGGCTTCCTTTTTGTTAGGGGATATATACCGATATCCCCAAAAATGGTCCCAGGCAACTCTCACCTTTCTCCAGCACCCCATAGTTTCATAGACAACACAGCCATTGTTCTATGAAGCTATATAATGTACATTGGGAATTTTTAAATGCTGTTACTATAGATTCCAACCATTCAATGAGATTGGTGTTCTTTACTTTCCTGTTGGCACTGTGCTGCCTTCTCTAGGATATCCACTTAATTTAAAAAGCGCTGGTTTATTTGCAGTCTTCAATAAGCTACTCTTCCTAAAAAGTGAAGTGCACTATACACTTAACTGTTCTGAGAGCTCAGAACTTATTAAAACAAAGTTCATTATCTATTTGTATGTATTTATGTATGTGTATTAGTCCACAGGGTCCAACATTATGTATTTATGGCATTTTAATGGCAATAGAGAAAAACAGACCAGTGCTGTTATATGATGATATCAATAGAGTGGTCTTCATAGTACTACGGGAGTTTTACGGAGCTGGTAGAAATCAAGGGAGTGCTTCTATGGATTTCAAAGGGCTTTGAATCACACCTGAAGTAGAATTGGTTCTGATCTGATACAAATGCTATTTCCCCTACAGTTCAGAGATAAAAGGCTTCTGGTCTACTTCTGTTAGTACTTTCCTCTTCCCAAAGACACTGTGTAAGAATGAAGCCTCTTCCTCAACAGATGCTCTGCCATATATTACAATTTAATCCCATATTCCTGACGTGCATCACAGGGTTTTTTCTCATCTCAAGAGGAACTCAGCCTAATTGTTCCCTTGTCCAATCCCCCCACGAGTAGGCAAGGACTTTCCATGATATTCAGTGTTGCAACAGTGCCGTACCAGAAGGACCCAGCAGAACTTGTCAGAATTTCTCTATAATCACGTGCAAGCAAATAACCCCTTAGCTTTCTTACCGCCCTTTTTATTCCTAACAGGAGTTGGGGAGGTTTACAGGTGCCAGTTGCCATAGCATTTGCTACTTTGAAAGTTCTCTGGGAACACCTGAATTGTCCTTTGTCACATCCCTAATAGCCTTAGTCAGAGGCCTTAAAGTGAAGGAAGAGAAGAGGTGAGGAAGGTCACTGTCTTAGTGCACTTTACTCAAGGGAATCTTTGAGGCTATTATCATTCATGATATTTTGTACATTTATCAGTTGCTCTTCAGAGACCCAAAGGGCAGTTACGCATCCAGCTCCATTCTGTGTCTCTGAATATCAGAACTGCTATGTGAGAGAGACTGTGTATGGGGTGGCTAGGAAAATTTCACACCTCTAAAGGCAATTACTTTGCAAACTTGAGTGGCCCCTGTCACAGCGCCAGCTACTTAAAACCAAATAATACATGCCCTAGCTTTATACTGAATGAGCACATTCATGTGTGCACAGGTGAGCTCAAGCACAAGAGGGACAATTCTGAGCGTGGAGCATTGTCAAAACTCGGTTCAGCCTATGTGCGTGTTTACCTGTATGCATAGTTCATCTGGTCCCTGGCTGCATACACGAGTATTTTTAAAATACTACTGCTATGTGTGCTTCTTACGCTCAACTTGCAAATCGATATAGGCTAAATTTACACAGCAGAAAAACCTCTTCCCTCTGTCTATTATTGTACTAAAAGATTTTTTATAGGACATTTCCATCATAAGGGAATTTTACATCAGGTGTATAAAACCCTGAAAATAAAAGCTTTGTTACCGTAATGCTGACAAGCCCTTAGCTATAGCAGTACTAGCAGGAGCCACTCTCATATAGGGTTCAGAATATTAATGTAGTCTAGCACCGTCCTTGGACAAATGCTTGCATTTACAGAAATTGATGGGTTATTGTCCTGCAAACTTTTCACCTAAGAAGTCTGAGGAATGAGGTGAAGAACAATAGAGGTGTCTCGCTGGGAGAATGGCTTCACTACACACAGGATTGCACACCACTTTGAAATCTTCCACCATCCCAGTCCCATGCTGTCTCCAACTTGGCAAACGCTTTTATTTAGCCAGGTATCAGTAGCTTGGGGGCGGGGGGGAAGTTCCATTCTCCAGCTGTTGTGTCATTTCCCTTGATAAGTCCTAAATTGACCGAGTTATCCAGCACCAAAGGAGCTTTCCTGTGGTAGACATGCTTTATTATGTGCCCTTTCGGGGACAAAGCCTTCTGTGTCAGTAAGCTGCTATGGAGAGGAAGGACAGATTTATTCTCACAGCATCATAAGCATTATCTTCTGAGGGGCTAATGTAAAAGTAAAAAATTGTGCAGCATTACCATCCGAAACCTAATGGCTGATGTTGCTGCTCCTTGATTATCGACCTGATGGGAGGCAGAATGAAAAGCTTGAAAGGCTGCTTCTCAGAAGGGCATATTTTAAAAGATGATTTTTAAATTAAGGAGTTTTTTAAAGGCAGCATTTTGTTTGGGCTTGTTCATTTGCTGGCTTATTTTGGATATTCGGCTGGTGGTCTGGATTGGGTATTGTGCAAAAGGGAAGGAAGGTTTGTGAATCTCCTTATTCGGCATTAGTTGTAGATAAAGCAGAAAGTCTTGATTTCAAATTATAAAAACCAACAGTTCATGTGTATATTTAGCCCTCCTCACAGACTGCAAATGTATATATTAACACCAGCCTTCCTTCTGTATGTGGTAAGAAGGGGAAACGAGAAACATGACTTGTCAACCCTGAGGGAGACTTTGCAAGGCACAAATGGCAGTGAGGAACCCAGGCACCGCCTCACTCGGAGGTGAGTTGGCCATTTTCAGGAGTTCAGCAATAAAGTATGTCTGAAAATCTTTCACCAGCACCTGGAAACACTGCAGCCTAATTGGCATTTCAGCAATCTGAACATGCTTCATAACATGCCTGACAAGGCAAGCCTGCTTCTGTTTGGGGAAGAAGAAAAAGGGATAGGCGTTTAAAAAAAAGGACATGAACGTCTTGACAATGAAAGCTGGCGTAAGCCTAGCCTACTCATATGTGATGCGAAGAACTGATGCGATTAAAAAAATATTTCAACAGATCCTCAAACAGCCACTGGAGAGGTGGATGGGGTGAATCTGGAAGAAATCCGAGAATTTGCCAAAGCTTTTAAAATCCGGCGCCTGTCCCTTGGCCTGACACAGACTCAAGTTGGCCAAGCCCTAAGCGCCACCGAAGGCCCAGCCTATAGCCAGTCTGCCATCTGCAGGTAACAAGTTACATCATAAACTCTCCTCTCCTCTCTTTGTTCTTAATAATTATTCAGCTTATTGCAAGGAGCATGCCTGTGTTTGAGTCTCATGTCTTTAGAACATATTCTTTCATCTGGGACTTAAATTAGCCAATAATGTTGGTAGCTGGCAGCTAAATGTTTTTATTGTGTATCCCTAAAGTAACTTCAGTGTTTTTTTCCCCTCCTCCTTTTTTAAACAAGTGAGAAACAATGTTCCTGGCATTGAGACTTAATTCAGTAGACGAGCTGGAGACCCTGCTGGTGCTGGATAAGCACCAGCTGACCCTCTTCATACTGTGCCATTTTCTACAGATAGGGTTACTGAACAAATATTTCATGGCTGCATCCCTGCTAAGTTAAAACCTGTATTACTGTGGTTAGCACTTCACATATAGGATGTTAATGATGATTTACCTAGGCAACACAGAAGGGAAAAAATTATGCTTCCTGCTATCTTGCAAACCAGCAGCTATTCATCTCTTATCACCCAAATGTTTACTAAAAAAACAGACAACCCATGTATGCAAAGCAGAAGTAGAAATCTGCCCTAATCATAAGAAATGATAATACAGTCTTGACAGAGTTAAAGTAGGTAGAAGCAAACACCGTATATGCATGTATGTGTGTTACAGTAATTCCATGTTTATGCATGAGGTAACAAACACACTTAGGTAACAGCTTTTTCCTCTTGGGCAATGCCTTATAGTCCTTCTCCATCAGTGAAAGCCAAGAAACCAACTCTAAGCTCATTTAAGTGGATTTTGTTCTTGGTGATCCATGAAATGCTCTGTCTTTTTATCTGCTCTTTATACTTTTAATGTATTCCCCATAGAACGGAAGTGTACTTTTCCTGCAGTTTAAGACTAAGGTTATAAATAACATCAGTATGGGGTAGTGAGCTTGCAGCTCACATTTTGCTCAATGATTTTCCATAAAACCCATTGATTGTTGTTAAATACAAAAAGCTCCATAGGATCCTCTCACTTCTATGGTCTCCCCTACTGTTTTTTCTTATAAGATACCTCCCTGTAGAAAATAACCTTTATTCAGTCTATACAAGGATACTACTGCTGGGAAATTTGTTTCAAGACTTGTATATCGTTATACCAAACAACATGTACTGCAGTATCAACACTAACAAGCAATGTCAATGATATGAATGCCATTGCTCCCTGTTGCTAAGGATTAATTTTATTAATTTTTTCTTCCCTGTAAAATTGGTAAAGAATGCCTAAAACGGGGGGAGTTTTTAGTAACTGCCAATTTGTTGCAGCCTTAAGTTGCCATTTAACATACTTTAAAGCGATAAATTGCAGTTTCCTTTGCTTTTGTCTAGTTTGCTGTCTTCTCATTTCCTCCATCTACCTCACACCTGAGAAAACCCCTGGGGATGGTTTGAATTTTACTAAAAGAAGGGGTTTCCCACTAACTGATTATCAGGAAACCCCCAATAAAGATGACGTTGGAGCACAGACGTGGCTCACAAAGGTCCAGAATGTGTAGACCTTTGATGGAGGGCTCCTTAGAGGGGCAAATTGCTCAGAACATGGGGACTGGGTGCAGAAGCTGGTTGCAAATACTTGCAAGGTCATGGTTTTTTTTTATTTCGTCTGACTTCCCCAGGTGGATATCACTCTGGGGTGTAATAACCTGCTCTGACTGTGCATTTCTTGTTAAGCACGCAGACAAGCTGCTTCAGTGGCAGTAAGCTGTCCCTCAGAAATAGTGGGTTTAACTTTTCTTTTAATGGTAACAAAGGAGTTTCAGTACCAACTCCAGGATAATGGAAGGGGCAGTAAGGTAAGGAAGTTGAACCACCAACTCGGAGACAGAAGTAGAGTATCCTGGTGGCCTGTGCAGGTCATATCAGCAATATACCACCTTGCTGAGATGTTCTGCGTGCAAATAATGGCATTTTCTTAACTTGAGACAATGTGTTCTAAAACATACACTTCTGCCTAAAACATCACTGGACACCAGGGAAGGACACCTTGCAGTCAATACCACACTAGGATCCCAGGCACCAGTTACAAATTCTTCGGAGTGTTATTACCTGAAATTATTACTGTCTTATTCTTTGTTTGTGAGAAATGCTTTGTTTCTTGCTGGAATATTTTCTGCAGCTGCCACGTGCTGAATAGAGCCACTGAAAATTGCCAGCTCCAGTCACCAAGTTGTTTTGCAGAAAGGCATTGGTTCTGTCGGTCTCATCTCGAGATCATGTCGTGATTAGTGGCGGCAGCGGTGCTTCAGCACCAGGCAGGCTGGAGCGTGCAGCAGCTCCGCGCAATAATTGTTGCCTTTCCGCAACGTTAAATACCACAGTGTGCGGGGTGGACGTAGGCGAAGTGGGGAACTACGAATGGGTGGCATCAGAGGAGTCGGGTTAAGACTTTTTTAATGCCTAGCAAGAGAGGATGAACTCGGTAAAGAAAGTACTTATAATATAAGACTTGAAATGTGAACTCAGCTCTTCTGCTTGTTTTCGAAAGGATTAAAGCTTTGTGTGGCTGCTTTTCCAGATGTTTTATAATACTTGTAAAATCTGGTTTGGCAAAAGACTTTTTGATGGCAAAATGATATATAGAAGACCTCATTTACAGGAAATGATATCATTCTGGTACAGTTTGCAGAAATCCCACAATAAACCCAGCTTGGTGCCACAGCATATTAGTAGACTATTATGCTGGGTTTCATCTGGAAAACATGAGTCTGTCTTTGCACATTGTGGGGGCAGTCAAGATAATTGCAAAGTGTCCAGCTGTTTCAGCTGAACACCACCGTAGCTATGGGAATCTTTTTCCGACCCAGAAAAGGGATATAGCGTTAACTTGCAAACAGTGAAAATTGCTGAAAAATGAAAGGAAAGGAAACCTGATATTCAGAGACTAGTAACTGCCATTGGTTTGTATTATTAAAGCTGTGGTCTTCGGACAACACGGGATGGGAGGGGAAACAAAAGGACTGATCACAAAGATGAGATGATAAAGAGCAATTGCCTTTGATGTCATTTCCTGTAATTAGACTTAGCCTTAAGGGTTTTGAAGATCATCAGAAATATGAAAACGTGACCTGTATTATTTAGTGTACTTAGCATTTTGTTGTAGTGCTCGTTTTGTGATAGCTTAAATATCTAGCAATATTTTTATATATATAGATATACCTATCTGACTGATAGTTTTCGTAATCCATTGTAAATTACCTCTGCCAGTCAATTAGTCAGGCAGGCAGGAAGTCCCACCCTGGCAGAGCATCAGTGTAAGACTCTTCTTTCTCAATTTTCCCTCAGACACACCATCCTGAGAAGCCACTTTTTCCTACCACAGGAAGCCCAAGAGAACACTATAGCTAGCAGTCTGACAGCCAAACTGAACCCTGGCCTTTTGTATCCTGCCAGGTTTGAAAAGCTGGACATCACCCCTAAAAGTGCCCAGAAGATAAAGCCGGTGCTTGAGCGGTGGATGGCTGAGGCTGAGGCCCGCCATCGAGCAGGTATGCAGAACCTTACCGAGTTTATTGGAAGTGAACCATCCAAAAAGCGCAAGAGGCGTACCTCATTCACGCCACAAGCCCTTGAGATCTTGAATGCCCACTTTGAGAAGAACACGCACCCCTCTGGGCAAGAAATGACAGAGATTGCAGAGAAACTGAACTATGACCGGGAAGTAGTTAGAGTTTGGTTCTGCAATAAGAGGCAAGCACTGAAGAACACAATTAAACGTTTGAAACAACATGAGCCTGCGACAGCAGTTCCTATGGAGCCTTTAACAGACTCTCTGGAAGAAAACTCCTAAAAACAAAACAAAACAAAACCACACACAAAAAAACCCGCAGCAACAGAAACGTAACCATTCGAACTCTGTGAAAATACCTGTTCATCACCCTTGTAAGTAAAAGACTGAGAAAACTACAAGAAGGACAGAACAGTTTATAAATGTCCGTGGGTTTTCCTATTTAAGAAACAAAACAAAAAAATACACAACACTTAGTGTGTGTGTGTGTCGTAGAATTAGTTCCCAAAAAAAAGAAAAAGCCAGTTTTTTTTAAATGGACTTAAAGTAAACCAAATAACTGCTTACTTTTTTTCTGTATATTATGAAAATGTGAACACATTTTAAGGAAAAACAAAACAAAAAAAAAAAAGAAAAAAAAAACTTTTATCTGTTTAAAAGAGAATTGAAGCCTGCCACCTGGAGGAGTATCCAGGTATCAAGTGCTGATTCACTATGAAAACTATTAACCAAAGTCAGAAACATGGCATTGCAAACTAGATTGTTAGTCTACTCTTTTATGAGTGTAAAATTGTGTTACAAATTTTTACATTTGTATTTTGCAAAGAGGAAAACAACAGGATTAATTTCTCTCATCCTTGTTCGCACCGCCTGCAGGTGTGTACAAACAGGTGTTAAAGCCATTCCATAGCAGTCACCTCCTTTTCTTTCCTTTCCTTTTCTTTTAGTCAACACTTTTTCAATCTCCACGTGTTTGGGTGCCAAAAATAATTTATTTTTATTGTGAGTTGCGGGGTTTGGTATTTCTCTTCTAAGGGTGGTTGTCTTGTTTTGCATTTCTTTTTTTTTTTTTTTTCTGATTCTTTTTGCTGCCTCCCCCCTTCCAGCTCATTCTCCACCCCTTCCCCAAACACACATAACCCAGTACTGTTTGAAGATTTTTAAAAAGAAAAGTGAAATCTGAACACTTTTATATTGATATGCTGAAATGCAATAGAGGACAAAGAAGGATTAGGATTCTGTCTGATGAACTGTCAGCCCACGCTGAACATTGTGCTTGTTGTCGACTGTGTAGCTTGGGATTTCTCTGTCCTTTGGCCATGAACCTGGAGAGGTTACCAAAACTCATTTTGTAGTATAAATACACACTGCACACTTGGTTCAGTACTGCATCTATGTTATGGTTCTGTTTGAAGCAATTTCTCTCCAAAGTCTGCTAGCCAAAGAAATTTCTTGAGATTCTGATGAAAGCAAATGGACAGGCCGAGAAGTGATGAGGATGTTTTGGTCATTACATCACTATGGACTGTTTCAATGGTAGCACGTTGTTCCTTCTGCCTTTTTTTTTATGTCATCCCAATATTGATGTTTGCCCTGTTGACCTCTTTAGTAGGAGGATGTGTTTCTGCAGGTGTTTGCTGTGGCCACGGGCTAGACTAAGCAATCAGGATATAGGGAAACCCATTGCATATCCTTTGCGAATAGTAAGGTCATTCACCTGCAATATGTTTCAGGTGAATTGATTTTCTTTTAAAGGCAACCTATCTCTGTGGCTTCCTTTTTGATTGGACAAGCATCTTTGAAAATGCTATGGTCATTGGACCTATGAGTATTACCAAGGCTCAGAGGGAGAGAAAGGTGTTGCAGGTTCTTGATGGGGTATGGGCTGACCTGCGAAGGTCACCTGTGATTTTCATCTTCTGCTGAGTTCTGCTCCAGCCTTTGGGCTTCAGCCTACTATTAGGGTAGAAGCCACATCTTGATCAGGACTTTGCAAAAGATAAGATCAAGGATTTGGGTTCAGCTCACTATAGATGTGGTAGAGTAAAATTCTGCTGGTAAAACTCCTGATTGCATTCGCTGACCTCAGGATGGTTGTACTGGATTTTGCTGGTCTACCTGGGACATTGAAGAAGGTTCGCAAAGTGCCAGAGCCTTCAAATAACACCTCTTTCGCAGAGTTTTCAAGAACTCAAGGCTATATCCAAGACTTAGTGAAAGAAAGGGGCTTCCATTGATTTCACTGGGCTTTGAATCTGGCCCTCGCTATTTTAATGGGATTTGCCTTGTAGAATGTGGTATTTGCTGCATGGCTGGTGGAGTTTTAAGGCTTCAGAGACCATCATCTGTGCCAGAAACTGCCTCTAAATGTGAGCACTCTCAAAGGTCAGGGTTGGAGAGCACTGTGGATCCAGTACTCCAAGCTGGGCTCACGTCCAGCAAATGCATTTTAGGCTTTAAGCTTCAGCAGGGTATGTTTAAGGATATTTTCAGTATCGCTTTTATGAGGAGGAGAGTGAGAATTGTTATTGACTCTTTTCTGACTGTTGATATATAAATATCTGCTGTGGGAAAAAAACACCTCTGTAACCACAGGCAAATTGTGAGGGACAAAGAAGATGTTTTACCCCATCTGAGCATGTGAAGTAGGGAGAGTCTTACAGCAACACCTGCCCCTCTGGGTTTTCTTTTTTCCTCTCTATCCACAGATACCTATACCCACAGATATATGTAATCTGTACCAAACAGCCCTAAACTTGTGGCCACAATTCAATTTACATAAAGATCAGGAGACCACCCAGAAGCCAACAGAGCAGCAGGAAAAAACAGATCATATTTGGAAGTGGACACTCCTGAAGTCCTACCGGTGTCTCCAGTACGCTGCTAATTGTCCAGTCATTAATGCCACATACACAATTACCTGTTCAGCCGCTCTTGAGACTGTATGTACACACACACACACACACACACACACCCTTCCACCTCCATCATCAACAGCCTGGGAACAAAACCATCAACGATTCTTTGCCTAAAAACTAAATTTCCAGTTCTCCCAGGGACGGCTCTAAATTTTGTGAAGAAAAATCCCCCAAGAAGAAAAGTTAACTAAACAGCGTATGAAAGATACTAAATGTTTAAAACTATGCTGGCAGCGGTTATATAAGCTCTTTTCTGTTCCAAAGTATGTATCGGAAGGATATAACTAGGACAGTGAAAGTGTAAAATAAATATAAATCGCCAGCTTGGAAGAAAAAAATGATGTTCATCCCACAGTCTTAAAACCATTCATGTGCAGTGATTTTTTTTACAGTTTTCTAATTTTGTATTATGTTTTGTAAATTATTTATAAAGTGTTGTAATGCTTCTTATATTAATTTTTATAAACAATTTTTTGCTATGAGGCATAAATGGTGCCTGAACAGATTCTTAGGAAGATAAATGACGTGTGATTCATACATGTTTGGGGGGGCCATAAATATTTTGTTTTATTTTGTTACTGGCAAAATTTCTGGTTTCCATTTGTAAACAATTTTCATGTATTGATTATATTTGAATACCTTTTAATTTTGCATGTGACTAAAAGATAGATTGCTACCAGCAAATGAAACAAAAGTCTCTTCGGTCATGTGTGAAGGTTTAATGGTTTTCCAATTTATTGATCATTTAATTTTAAAAAATATATATATATGAAATTATTATTTGAATAATGAACCAAGGGTTCACTTACTGTTCTGATTTTGTCTTTTTATGTTTTTCACTAAAAAGCTGTTTTGGACAGTTGAAGAAATCGAATGCATTCAAATGGTTCCAGTTTCTTTATGTTATTACTGAAAAAAAAAACCAACCAAAAAACCAAAAAAAATAAAAAAAATAAAAAAGAACAAGAAAGCAAAAAGGAGCTAGGAAGGAACAAGTAGAGGCGTATCAAAGAACTCAAGCTATAACCAAAAAGAAATATGTAAAATGCCTTTGCTCGTCTTCTCAATGCTGGACCAAAGCTCAATGTATGTAGGTATATGCACATTGTATAGATATGGCTAAATGTTGCTGACAATCTCGCAATACTAAACTGTTACTATTTAAAAAAAAAAAAAGAAATACAAAAATAAAACTGTTCATCAGTGTTTTACCTCAGCACTCTACTTGTACCCAGTTATTGACCAACATTCAAATAAGAAGATAAGAGAGGAAATTGATTTCCATGTCAATGTTTGACTGTAAAATCTGTTTGGAAAACATTTTGTAATGAGCTTTTTGTCATGTGGTTTGCCTGTTTCCAACTTGAGATTATGTGGGGCACATTTGTTTATTTATTGTTAAAAAGTGATATTATTAATTATTATTATTACTATTATTATTATTATTTTTGTCCTATGTGCTATAATCTACAGAATGGTCACCAGGGTCACTTATGAAGCACTGCAAAGAGATCTGTTTTTCCATGCATGGAGCATGCAGCGGGAAAGATGGCAGTACAAAATGGACTGTATTGTGTTGTTAAAAAATACGAATAATTACAAAAGGAGTTGATGTGGTGGACTTGTGACCAAGAAACCAAACTGGATATTTAAAAGCTCCTTACTTCTCTGACTTTGAAACCAAAGCTGATTTATCTGCACAGGTTGCTTAACATGAAAAAAAAAAAAATAAAAAAAACTGACAAAAACTGTACTTAATCTAGAGCAATATCTGTACGGTCAGTAAAGCTGCACTTTGTGTATTTCTTAACAGCTTCAGATCTGTCACTTTTAATTTGTACCATAAAAAATAAAGAATTGTTTGACATGAAAAATAAGCTCCTTTCATGTGTTTGTCTTAAATCTCATGCATTATTCACGTGATCAGAGCTCATGTAATTTCACATTCAGTTCAATACAAAAATAGTTAAATGCTCAAAAGAAAGAAAGGAAGAAAGAAAACCCGTTTGCACTGTGGAGCATCACTTTACCTGCAAAACTAAACGCTGTTTCTGCACCCAGAGCGGGCCTGTACATTGGTGATGTCTTCTTTTCTCTACAGATATGCGGAGTAGAGGATCTGCCTAAGGAATATCGTGGAATCATTCAGGTGAGCGTGTATTATCCCCCAGGCCAAGTGGAGCAAAGCACAGATGGGACATGAAGGCCAGAAACGGTGAATGTCCCGGTGCTTCTGCAGCTTTGAGAACAAAGCCCTGGTAAGTGATGGAAGGGGAGTGTGGTAGCAAATTTGGGTCGCCCTTTCAAATGACTTCTCTTGCATTTTTGCAGAGCTCATGAGGTTAGTTCCTCATTTCTTTCTGC